CGCGACCTCCATCCCGACCGATAGAGCTTCTCGGGGCGATCTGCCCCCCTCCCTCTTCCCACACTCCTCCCCCGATCACCCCCCGCCCGCACGCACGTGCGCACCCGAGCTTGGATGGAGCGGCACTTCTGCTAGAAGATAACGCAAGTGTCCTCAGTTGAGCTCAACGAGAACAGAAATCTCGTGAGGAGCACAAGGACAAAAGCTCATTTGATTTTGAATTTCAGTTTGAAATTCTAGTTCGAATACAGATTGGGAGAGCGTGGCCTATCGATCCTCTGGTGTTTCAGGACTTCAAGCAAGAGGTGTCCGAAAAGTTACCATCATCATCATCATCATCATCATTATCATCATCATCATCATCACCGTCGTTGTCCGCGTCACCATTACATTGGCTCGTCATCATCAGTGCGCGCATTTGATCCGGCGACCTCGTCGTTCCACCGGGGGAACAATCGAGAAGACCCTTTAGGGGTTGATTGAAGACCTTCCTCGACTAGGAGGAATGACCTTGATTGCTCTCGGCCGACCGGGAGCTCGGTATTGTCAATTTATCTCCCTCTTACTAATTCCCTCCCTTCCTCCCGCCCATTTTTCTCAAAGATCTCATCTTTTTCCTCTCCTCTTACATCCTCCCTATCTCCCTTTTTCTTCTCTAATCCCCTACCTAATTCGTCGCCTCATCAAAATTTCCTAACGTGCATGACAGGTATCTTCTGTTTTAGGGTTTGCCAGATAATGCCATCCAACCTGTCGTTCGGAATTTCGATCTAATTCGGTAGGATTAATTGTCATTTCCCTTTCTCGAAACGCGGTGATCGAAATTAATTCCGGCGGTTTTGTTCAATAGCGACACAAATTTCTTTACTTTTCTTGATTCATTTCGTTATTTAATTTCAAAATTCAATTTCATTTCAGAAACTCGTGAAATAAATTTCAAAATTTACTACAAAGAATTCTTTCAATATTGAATTTTCTTCTATTTTCTATCTCCCGTAAAATTCCGGAATTCGTCCGTTGTTTTGAAATTCTTTTGAAATTTTTTTGAAATTCATCTTAATTTTGTCACAAGTCAAGAAATTTTATTCATGTGATCTAGATAATCTTGGAATTTCTCTCAACTTACTTTATGCGGATATCACTAATTAATTATAAAATTTCATCACAAATTCTTAATTTAAGAATTAGTTTTCTACTTTTATTTCAAATTGCCTTTGAAATTATTTTAATTCCATAAATACGCCACGAAATTTTTCCTTTTTTTTCAAACTTTTCTTCTGAACTCACCTTTATCTTTGCTGACACCCTCCTGGACTTTCGAAAATTTTTACGAACAATTTTGGAATTTGGTGAATTTTGTTTAAATTTACTTTAAATACTGAATTTACGTCCAAATAATTTCAGAATTTTATTTTGACTTTGTGATTGTCTTATGCATGCTTTCCTCTATGCACCACGCTGTTCTATGAAAATCTCCTCTCGTTTTCTTGCTGGAATTGGAAATTTTCCTCTTTCCCCCTTAACATGACTCTGAATTTTTCTTCATTCAACTTCAGAAATTTGTTAAGACTTCATTTCTACGCGCCTCCTTTTCCCAGTCCTCTCTCCCCCCTTCTGCGTGTCACCCTAGCTCCCCGTGACATCCAACAGCGCACACTCCAAAATCGCGCTCGAGACACTCGTGCCACCAATCGACTCGCTCGCTTTGACGCACCGACCACAACCACAGATCGTCCCTCTCGCTACGGTGTCCCCTCGATATTATCTTCATTTTCTTCATTTGTTGACTTTATGCAGAGTGTAGAGTCGGTGAGCCCCTCCCGCTCCATCAGTGAAGGGCTTGCGCTACTAGCTCGAGATACCATGGCCGATTCGACTCACATTTTCACCCATATGGCCGCCAGTTCGGGCCCCACCACCGAATCGGATCGCCTACTGGCTCTCCTCGAGAACATGCAGGTCAGATTTGAGGCCAGATTAGAGGCCAAATTCACAGCCCTCCACACCGATTTTTCATCCCTGTCGGCCTGCGTGTCACAGCTGGAGCCCCGTACCAGTACACCTCCCTCCCCACCCCCCTCATCTGCATCTAAGCTTCCTCTCCTTCTTCGGCTGGCCTCATCTACACGCTTGTCTCTTCTTCGGGTTGCATGTCCTCACCCCAACCCCACCCTTCCTCTGCAGACTGCAGCCATCTCTTCGTCCCAGGTTCCCACACCGACATCTCCCCCCTTAGGACCCATGGCATCTTGTCCCGCCACCTCCTCGACATTAGTTTCCACGACACCTCCCTCCTCACCCCGCGCTCCTTCGCCCCCCCCCCGACCCCCCTTTACACCTAGGACACAGAATGCCGAGCTCCAACGCCAGCTCGCCCTGGCCCATGATCACATCCGCCAGCTCTAAGGAGGTCAACCCCTACCTCCCCATCTCGCGGCACAACCTGTTGCCCCTTTCATCTATCGACAACATAAGACACAGGCCGCTACGATGCATTTCACGCTCCCACCACCGGCCACCACGATGTGTCAGGGACCTTTGCCCCAACTTTCCTGTCTTTCTAGTGGTCTTGCTGGTACCACTACTTTTGTCCTCTTGTCACAATCGACTCTCCCTCTCCCTAACCATTATCGGCCCCCGACGTATGTTCCACAGTTTCGATGGGATCACCTCCCACAGTTTGAAGGGATGGATCACTACTGCTGAGGAGCAGCTTCGCTACAATGGTGTCGCCATGGAACTTTGGCCCGTCGAGATGTCGTCTCGCTTGACAGGTCGTGCAACCTCCACCTGGCGCGACTTCCTCGCCCTTCGCTCACAACGTGGCGTACATGAGGGCATGTCTTATCCCGAGTTTCGCGACTTCCTTCAGCAGTACTTTTCTCGCCCTGCGCCAGCCCACAACCCGATTACCCGTGTGGCTGAGATCAGATGGCTTGGTGACGACAATGCCTTAGAGTCATACATCACGACATTCCACCGTGTACGCACTCAGATTCCCGTCACAACCATACAAGAGGACACCATGATCCAGCGATTCCGCACAAGCCCTACCCCAGCCATTCCAGTTGTAGATGTTGGCGTACTCGATTTCCACCAGAGGCTTTCAACATTGCTAGGGCCATTCATCTCACTTATGCTCCACTCGTCGGCCCCTCGCCTCAATCCGCCGCTGCCCATTCCGCTACTACTGCACCACCTCACCCCTCCCAGCCTTGACAGTCCTCCACATACCGTCGTGGCCCTCGTAGAGGTTCTGGACGATTCCTCTCTCGTCACTTGCATGCACTGCTTCGTGATCCGTCGAGCATTGATGATAACACCGTCTCAGATGATTCTGCAAGTGACCCAGATCAAGGACTTGACCTTCAGTCCCCCGCGGAGGACGACGCCTCTTCCCATGTTGACCGTCTTGTCCGGGTCCTTTCCACCCTCCTCCGACGTCAACCCTCATCCTCCAGGACTCGCTCTACGGTCACTCAACTACCCCCCCCAAGCGGGCTTTGAATTCCCTCGCAGTCGCTTGACCATCGCTGAGAGTGAGGACCATCGCCTCGCCGGTCATACCTCTTCTACCTGCACATACGCAGACGCCCTCCAGAGTCACTTCACACAACAGGCTCGCCCTCAGGCTGTTCCCCCCGTCTCGACCTCCAGCGCAACACCAACCTAGATGCGATGTCCCATTCCCCTCTCTCCTACGGTAGCAGGCATACCCGTTCACAACTCTACCTTTGCACTGCTTGCTACTCTTCCTGTTGACTTTGGTCCAACCTTATCTTTGGGTGACCCTATCGACACTAGTATGCCTTCTCCTTCCTTGCCTATCGTCCCTCGTGACCCCCCTGCTCCACGTCCTCATACCAGGCGTGCTCTTCGCACGGCCCGCTGCAGTGCTTCCCTTATTGCAGCCGAGGATATCATTGACTTCCTGGACCTTGAGTGTGTTAAGGTCCACCAAGAACGTTTCCGCCTTAAAGAGCGCACCCTGTCCGCGATGTCTCAGCGCCTACACAATCCCAATCACACCTTACCGATTATTCCAGTGCGCCTCGGGACCTCTACTAAAGTGTATCACGCACTATGGGACTTTGACTCTACTGGTGACTTCATTCATCCTCGCGTAGTTAAGGAGGCATCTCTCTATACATCCGCCTACCCTTCCACTGTCACTGTCACACTTGGCGACAATCAGGCCAAATCCTTCGTCGATTCGGTGGTGCCTGATCTTCCATTCTCCTTCCCCCTGTGGATGCCCCACAACCTTCGCAAGGCCCCTCGGTTCCATGACAAGTGGACCTTCGATGTTATGGAAACCCTATATGATCTGGTTCTTGGCATTGCCTATTCCCATCAGTTCGCCCATGCCAGCCCCGATTGGACCCCCAACGATCTCGTTCTCGACGCCAAGGATGAGAAACAATATCGTATTTCGTTGTTGGGCAAATTGGACTCTACACTTCCCCCCCCTGTTAATGTCACCATCTGTACACCTACCCAGTTCAACCACCTCCTTCGTGAGCCTGATGTACAACTTTATGTTGTCAACATCACAAATCTCCTCACCTGCAACTCCATGCATCAGGACGTTGAGTTGGTTGAGCTTGATCCACCACCTCCCGAGCCCCCTGACCCTCCTGATTCCTCAGCTTCCTTAACCTCCTCTACCCCTGCTAGCCCATTTCACTTTCTCACTTCCTTTACCACTGATACACCCTCAGTCCCTACCCCCATACAGACCCCCTCCACCTCTGCTTCAGACGCTGCCGCTACCAAGGAATCTGACACCCTTCTTTCTTCCTTGCCGCCTAGTGTTGGTGCCCTCCTTCGTGAGTATCACGATGTTTTCCCACCATCCGTCTCCTACAACAGCATTCCTCCCATGTGTGATATCGAGCACCACATCCAGCTCTAACCCGACTATCGCATTCAGAATTGTGCCCCTTATCGCCCTTCGATTCCCGAAGCCTAAGAACTCTACCGCCAACTTAAGGAGCTGCTTTGCCAGGGCTTCATTAAACTGAGTACTTCCCCATGGAGTGCCCCGGTCCTCTTCGATCGCAAGAAGGACGACATCCTTCGTCTCTGTATTGACTACCGCGATCTGAACTACTACACGGTCAAAAATAGTTATCCCATGCCTGGCGCGGATGATCTGTTTGACCGCCTCGCCGGCCACCATTTCTTCACGAAGATCGATCTTCGTAGCGGATATCACCAGATCCGCAGAGCCGAGGAGGACCAGCCCAGGACTGCTTTTCGTTCTCGTTTCGGGCACTACGAGTTTACCGTCATGCCTTTCGGTCCCCGTAATGCCCCCGCCACTTTCCAGACGGCTATGAACAGGATGTTCCAAGACCTTCTTGAGGACTATGTTCTAGTCTACATTGACGACATCCTGATCTACAGTTGTACCCCAGAGGATCACCTGACCCACCTTCGCACTATCATGCAGCGACTACGCGAAGCTTTCCAAATGCAACTTTGCTCAACCCAAAGTCGACTTCCTCGGGCATCAGGTCTCCGAGCACGGACTCCACATGGACGACTCGAAGATTCAGGCTATTGTCGACTGACCCACTCCTACCTCTCTTCCTGCGCTGCGTAGTTTCCTTGGGTTGACCAACTACTATGGTCATTTTCTTAAAAACTATGCGCTGTATTCTTCCCAGCTTACCCCTCTGACTTGCGGACGTCTACCTTCTCATTGGACCACGGCTCACGTGGATGCTTTCCGCTCTATCAAGCGACTTGTCACGTCAGCTCCTGTCTTACACTTACCTGACTAATTGCGTCCATTTATCGTCACCACCGACGCATCCAACTTCGCTATTGGAGCTGTTCTCTCCCAGATCTACCCAGCCCCCTCTACTTCTCCCGATTCCACAGAGTCCCGCCTCCCTCGCATTCCTCACTTGCCTCCTCCACCTCCGGCGACTGCGGCTCATCTTGCACCCATCCAGCCCACCCCCTTATATTCCTGACGTCGCTGATGACGGTACAGTCGAGTCTCGCAATGGAGAGTGTCTGGTTGCTTATCTATCTCGACAACTATTTTCCGTTGAGCGTAACTATACTGCCGACGAGCGCGAGGTCCTTGCGCTGGTCTACGTTGTTAAGAAGTGGCGTCACCACTTGCACGGTCACACTTTCACCGTTTTGACAGACAACTCTGTCCTCACCGCCTTCCAGACGAAGCCTAAGCTCACTTCTCGTTAGGCTCGCTGGTGGCGTGACCTCTCTGAGGAAGACTTCCGGCGAAAGCAATCGCGAAACAGATGCCTTATCCCGTCGCCCCGACCTTCATTGCGAGGATCGTCAGCTATCTGCTATTTCATCTCCCACCATCCACCCTCCCTTTCTGGACGAGTACCGCCACGCATACATCCAGTGCCCTGAGTTTCAGTCCATCGACGCTGACCTACAGGCTGGCAAGTTCATCCCTAACTTCCAGCTCGATCCCTCTGGACTCCTATACAGGCTTGGTCGCCAAGGTACCCTTACTCCTTGCTTATGTGTGCCCTCTACTCGCCAGCTCCGCGTTCGGGCTGTCGCTGAGTGTCACGACCAGCCAGCCGCCAGTCATCTTGGTATCTTCAAGACACTTGACCGCCTCTACCGCCATTACCACTAGGAGCACCGTTGTCCCTTCACTAAGGAGTGCGTCCGCACCTGCAGGATCTGCCACGAGGCCAACATCCCCCCACCGCCCCCCTACGGTCTTCTTCAACCCTTACCCATTCCCACTCAGCGTTGGACTTCTGTCTAAATGGACTTCAACGGTCCTCTTCGTCCCCTTACCCCACGAAGCCACAACGCCATCTTCATCGTTGTCTGTCGGTTGACTAAGCATGCTGACTTCCTTCCTTGCAAGTATGCTAGTTCAGCCAAAGACATCGCCTCCCTATACTTCAACCGTATTGCCATTCATCATGGTCTTCCCACTAGCATCGTCTCTGATCGCGATCCCTGCTTTACTTCTCATTTCTGGCGTGGACTCCATGAGATCTATGGCTCCGAGCTCCGCCTCTCCTCCTCCTATCACCCCCAGTGAGATGGACAGACCGACAAAACTCTTGGGAGTATCCTCAAGAAGTTTGTTGAGAATGACTCTGATTGGGATCTCCACCTTGCTCACGCAAAGATTGCTTATAACCAGGCTATTTCACCTGCCACTGACATGTCTCCCTACTACTGTGACTTGGGATACCATCCTCGTGTCCCATCTGACCTTCTCCGTCCATCTAGATCCATCCCGACACCAAATGCCCTGCCCTCGATGATTGGGTAAAGGAGATGGATGTGCTTCTTAGCAAGGCTCGTGAGAGCATTCCTGACTCCCAGGCTCGCATGGCCACTCACGCTAACCGCTCTCGCATCGACCATCCCTTCAAAGTTGGCGACGAGGTTCGCACGTCACTTCCAGCCCGAAGCTGACACGCTTCGAAAATTCAGACGTCGATATATTGGACCATGCACCATTCTTGCACCCGCCAGACCCAATCATGACTGTCCGGTGAGCTTCAAATTGAAGCTCCCCGATTCGATGTACCGCGTTAACTTACATGACGTGTTCCATGTATCTCTTTTGCGCCCCTTCAAACGGTCTCCTTCCGAGTTTCACGGTCGACCTTACCCTCGTCCTTCTCCCATCACCATTGAAGGTCAGGAGGAGTTTGTCGTTTCTGATATTGTGTCCCGACGTATGACTGATGGTGACCCTCCCCGCCTCGAGTACCTCGTTCGATGGAAGGGTTACCCTGACGAGGAGTCTACGTGGGAGCCTCTCGAGCACCTGAAGCATGCTATGACTTTCGTGCGTGCCTACGATCGTGCTCATCTTTTCCCTTCTTCATCATCCCCTCCTCCTTCTCGTCCTTCTACTGACCCATCTACTTCAGCGACCACTAACATCCCGCCTCCTCCATCGATGGGTCCTCCTGCTCCACCGATACCTGCCCCATGTCCTCCTTCCCTTGTGGACATGGTTCCGCCTGTTGTTGCAGTTGAGTCCTCGCGCCCTCAGCGTACCCATCGACTTCCTTCTAGTTATCGTGATTGATCTAGCATACGCTCTCTATCGTTTACCATTCCTGGACACTTATGTTGCAGCTCTTGGTTTCAGCTTCTACATTCGGCTTCTACATCGACTTCCGATCTCAATGCTTCTCTTCAATACCAGAGTACATCTCGCATTGTTCCGGACTTCTACTCGGTTTCTGCATTACTCCTACTTCATCCTGGCTACTTCGACCCGACTCCAGTTTGGAGACTCATCAGTTGGACTACATCAGTTTTTCGGCTAAGGAGTTCCCATCATTCCCACGTATCCTTACCCTCGAGTTACCCTCCAGTCGCATGATGACCCCTATTTTCCCTGTCTATGTGGGTGTGTCCGTTTGTCGTCCTTCTGCCTTACCTTATGCTGCGCGCCCTCCTCTGGAGTGTACGTTTTCTTTGCTCGCGGCTTTTGGCCACATGTTTATGCCGGCATGACCCTCTCTTTCCTTCCAGACTCACCTTATGTGTGCTCCCTTGTGTGAGTGCCCTTCCCCTTTTAGCTGGCGGTTCCCGTTTGATGGTTTCCATTGAGCCCGGTTTCGTGCTGTTACTCTCCCTCTGAGCCTGATGACCCTTACCTGGTTGTGTGGGTGCCCCCTTGGAGTTTACTCTGCGAGTTGTACCTGCCGTCTTCCCACCCATTCCTACCCTTGCCATGCGACTGAGTTCCCTTCTCTTTTGTTCAGGTATTGTGCATTGTGTACAGGGCACATGAGACTGTGCCACATTCGTTTTCAACTTAGGACATTGGTTTAATTATTCTTTGGCCTTTGGGGCCCTGGTGTTGATTTATATTCAGCCTATTTGGCTCATGAGACATTTTTCCTCTTCCTTGGCCGATACAGGTCAAACATTTTTCTCTTTCTTGGCCGACACAAGACATTTTTCTCTTTCTTGGCCGACACAGGTCAGATATTTTTCTACTTTTTGGGTCGACAAAAAATAGACATTGTTGTATAGATTAGGCTTAAGGCTTGGTCTGCATTGCATTCCTTTTCCTGCATGGAGCCTGCTCCGCATCTAGGATTGTTTCTTTTGCCGTTCGTTTTGGGTTTCCGCTATTTCAGCGGATAGCGTGTTTGATGTATCGCTTGATCCATTCACAGGTCCAAGGATCGTGTAGCGGTACCCCTACGGCCCGGCAGTGAGGCCGGACCAATTTTAGGCCGTCGGCCTAAAACCCCGTCCGGTACCAGGTTGTTCTGTACCAGGACCTAGACCGGTATATCACTTCGGCCTAGGCTCAAGGCGGGAGGTTGGTTCATTCAGTTGTTCATTCGTTCTTTCGTGGAGTCGGACTGGACCTTCACTCAACTGCTGCTTTTCGTGTTTGTCCATCTCCTCTCTCTTTCTCTCTCACCATCTCCGCTAGTGCCCTCTGCACGTGCGTCACAAAAACTGTGATTGTTGATCAGATTTATCAACACGGTCACGGAGGACCGCACCAGTGCGGGTGCGGCACCACTGCTATCCGCGCGCCAAGGGAAAAACAAAAGAGAACATGAAGGTTAATTTGTCCATGTTATGGCAGAAGATTCTGCGTGTTTTTCACTTTTGCCATGCTCCACTAGTCACCAACGGTGAAAAAGAAGCACAAAAGAAGAAAAATCAGCCGCCAGAACATTGAAAGATATACCGCCAAACACAGTTGTGAGGGCTTCGTTCATCACCCTTGCATTATCCAAAGATACACCGCCAAACACAGTTGCGCGGGCTTCGTCCATCGCCCTTGCGTTATCCACATGCTGTGTTTTCTTTTTTCCTTTTTTTTTTCCTTTCTTTTTTTGTTCTTTTATGGGGGGGCGGGGGTTGTGTATGTAACCATCAATCACATTACCAGATGAGAAATCCACCCGGAAAACACTACCGAGTTCACCTCTGCAACCACCAGCAATCCACAAAGATTCACACCGCTATTTGCCCGCGTAGTACAAGCACCCATGAACGCCCAATTCCAACAGATTTACCCTCCCAATACGCACCCCTGTGAGCAACCAGCAGTATACAAGCAGTATACCATCAGATCCGCAAGGAGGAGGAGGAGGAGGTACCAAAACGAACGAAAAGAGAGCAGGAGGATGTACAAAGACGATAAGGAGGAACATTGGGGGAAAAAAAGAACGAGGAGGAGAAGGACGAGGAGAACAATGGCGGCTGGATGGAAAAGAAAAAACAAACGAACATTCATAAAAAAAAACAAAAAACTTCCAACTCTAAGCCGTTTCCAGCATATAGCGAAGTAATTGAACTCTCATGTTGCCATGAGAGGGACCCATCTCGACCCTTTCTTTGTTTTTTTATTGCATCAAATATTTAAATAATATCGTATCGAGTAAAATGTCTATATTCAAACTTATGTATTCATTGTATTTGATTATTTTCTTGAATTGAATTCATATTCTATTTATATTTATCTATATCAATTCTCTTTATTTCACTATATTCAAAAGTAAATATGCAATGCAATATCATTATTCTAGGGATAGAAATATATATTTTAGATTCTATTCTATTGTATGTATATATATATACTATTCATATATCTATATTATTTATTCTATTGTGTCATATTTGAGATTCTCTAGAGAACAATTTGAAATGAAAATCCATAAACAAATCCTTCATTGGTGAGACAACTATTTGGTTATGGTGCGCCGTGCGTAAGAGGACACACGAAGTGCTGCGCCCTCGTCGACATATTCTCTGGGCGTTGGTCACGACTCTCTCTGGCCAGCCGAAAGAAACCAGTTTTCTGGTGACCAACCTTCAACGTGCTGATCTCCAATCTTTGTATTCCGATTGGAATGAAGAAAGTCGCGTCGTGGTTGTGCCTTGTGCGTGGAAAAGCAACGACGAAACCCTCCTGAAGCGACCGACCTCACTGAGCCTTTTTGGTAGGGGAGACGATGTTGAACCTGGTGAGGATAACGAAGCCGACACAAAAGCTTTCCGGTATAGAATAGCCAATGCAATTT